GGATTCTTTTAGTATTGGCAAGTTTATATACTTACAGGATATTGTTCACAAAACCAAATATATGTTCGTCACCCGATAAAGAAAAATTCTTCTTCTTCTTCTTCTTCTTCTATGTGCCGTGTCTCTTCAGGACATAGGTGATCATGACTCTCTACAACTTCATATCCTTTACAGCGCTTAGCAATGTTTGTCTTTTCATTGTCCCTCCCAATCTCTGTACTAGCATCAAATTTACACAAGTTTTTTAGGATGGTTACTCACTGTTTCTCGCTATCCCTCTTGCATGTAATATATCTTATGAGTGTCAAATTCTCTTAGCCCTCTTTCCTCATAATGTGCCCTAGAAATTCCATTTGTCTTTTTCTGATTGTTACATTAAGCGTCATTTTTGTTTGCATTTTCCTTAAAACTTCCTCGCCACTCACATGTTCAGTCCATGGTATTCTCAGCATCCTTCTGTAGCACTACATTTCTGTTGTCTCAAGTTTCCTTGAGAGGAGATGGACCACCAGTCACTGTCATATGAGGACCGATATTACATAGCAGTTCGACACTCTTTTCTTTGGTTCTAATTAAATTTTTCTGTTTCTTAATACTTTCGCTATTTCAGTTGTTCAATGTCATCTTCCGCCATTTCAATGCAGCTTCGGTTTTCGGTGCCACATTTTCTGTCCTCTGTTAAAACACTTCCCAGATATTTACATTTTCGCACGTGTTTGATTTTGGTGTCACTAATATGTAGTAACATCCTGGGCGATTCTTTTTGTTAACAACCATATATGTTGTCTTCTTACAATTGATGTTTATCCTTTCTTCTTGCTTTCTTTTAGCATGTTACACGTGATCTTTTTTTAGTGAGCATATGTAATTGATACAGCAAACTCATCAAAATGCATCTATTTGTGACTGCAAAAAGGTAACGTGTGATACGGGAACTTTATACGTATACCCACCTGATTTAATAAAGGCATAAGTTAAAATTCAATGTTAGGTCCTTTTGGGGGGGGTAGGCAAGTTTGTATGATTACCTTATTTGGCACAGCCATAAGGTCAAATTTAACACGAATCAAAATGCATCTACCAAGAACCAGACCAGACAAAAAATTAAGTACTACTGCTATATCTAATGTTCACTCCATACAAAACCTCAAGAGCCAGTCAAGATAGAGGGTTGTATTAGGACAAGTGTTTCGCGTATAGAGTTGAAGTAGACTTTAGAAGGAACCGGAAGCCCAATTCTAATCAGGAAATATGGGATAAACGTCTATACCTGTTCGAAAGACTGGAGGGGAGTGTGAACCGAGCCATAGGCGAAGCTATTTACTCCTATTTATCTAAGTTGGAGCTGCCCAGTCCTCACTTTCTAGCCTTGATAGATCTCTTCTCTACAATCTTAACCTTTTCAAATTTAGGTTCAAGCATTATCTATCCGACATATCAACTTAATCTGCAGTTCTTACGCCCTTATTATGTGCATTAGCTTCAATCATTGGCCCACTGCTTAGAGTGATTCGGGGGCTTTATAATGGGTGAACAATTAGTAAAAAAAATTCTACCCTAAAAAAAATGTGGTACATGGTCTTTAAGAGTGTAGGCAAAGTTTTATACCCATTTGACATGGTGCACGATTCAATTCAGTTCCGTATTGGAGGCATCATATCTCCATCTTTTTTGTTAAAGCACTTTCCAGGAGTTATATATACTGAAACGAAATAACTTTCCTTTCAAAAGATAAACAAAAACTGATAGAGATTTTATTCAATTCGCACTGTACATATGTATGTATGTATATATATATATATATATATATATATATATATATATATATATATATATATATATATATATATATATTTAGAATGCAATGGAACAGTTTAATCCATGCTCAATGTGTGAGTTAATTCACTATTCACAAACACGTGGATCAGTCTATGAGTATTTATATCGTGATAATATTCTGACATCCGGAAAGAGAGATCACTCATAACCGGAAGTCGTGGTATAATTCAAACGATAATAAAGATATTTAATATTTGGACCAGTCAGTAAAATTTGGGCGTTTTTTAAGAATACTGTTTTTGAAGTTCACTTTTCAAAACTTAAATAACATGTGATAACATTAAAAAAGTGAAGTGCCGACAAAAGATCAACTAGCAAGGGCCATCCGAATATAGCTATACTTCTTACTTCTTCTAACGCCAAAACGCATGTTCTCTTTGTTGTCTTTACTCTAGTAGTATTAGATCTAATAGTATTCGAGTGTTTAGATGAAGAATTGTCAATAATTATTATTTCTTTTTTTATAATTTAGCATTTTCTTTCTGTTGCTTTTATTCCAATTCCAGATCGTCATTCTGCGATCATCTGTGAGCAGCGGGAATAGGAAATAATGAATTAGCCTCGAGTAGGTCTTGAACTCCCATCACATTATTATTGTGAACAAGACGGGAATACCACTAGTATGCAGGGGGTTACAGTGAGTGAAAGAGAAAGATAAGACTGAGAATGGGGAGGATTGAGGGAAAGGGCAAAAGATGAACGGGATTCAAGAAGACAGAAGATGGCGATTGACGTTGCATTTAAATTTTTGAAGATTGTAGTTATCGGGGAAGCAAGAAATCGGAAGGGAGTTCAACAAGTGGGAAGTGCGAGAAAATAAACAGTAAAAGGGTAGGACCTAAGTGACAATCTAGTAGCGCGCTTAAATTCATGTACTCGGGGTACGAAGGAATAAAGTTCGTCAGAGCAGTTGCCATGAAAATATTTGTGGAAAAGACACAGGGAAGCCACGTTACGTCGGTGAGAAAGTGACTGAAGCCGAGATTCCTGGTCAAGATCGATTACATAACAGAGCCTTCTTTGAATTTTGTCAAGAATTTTAGCTACTTTACATATTAAGCTACGAATAATAATCAATTAAACAAATTCGAATAATAATGCTACAGGTATACAGTTTATTTTTTATACACATCATCAATTTTGTATCGTTTTTTTTTTTTTTTTTTGTTCTCCAGCACCAAGATCTCCATTATTGGAATTCACAGTCCATTTTTTGGGAAATGAAAATCAGTTACACCTGGGAATGTTGTCTAAATCGCAGATATTTTATGCTGCGTTTGCAGAGTTAGTATCGTCACAAAAATATTGGTAAGGTGTCCACATGTCGCAAATATAAAAGGAATTCCTGGATTTAGGATCGGGATAGATTCCAACAAGGGATGGACAAAGAAATTCTGGTTTCTCGTAGACAGGCAAATCTAGCGATACAAAAAAAAGAGATAAAAAAAAATGATTAAATGAAATATCAAATTTGAAAATTCTATTACAAAATTTTAATTTATTAATTTTGATTGAAAAATATTAGAGCTCAGGAAACACTTTTTTTTAAATGGAGTCACCAATGGTACGAACGTTGAGAAACTTATCTAAAGTATTATTTTATAAAAAATTTAATTCTAATTATATATATATATATATGTGTGTGTGTGTATAAATAAAATATATATATATATATATATATATATATAATTATTTATATATTATAGGCGCGGTACTTATTAGAAAGCGCTCAATATCAGAGATAGAGCTAACATATTCAGTTTGTCTGACGATCGCAAAAGCGTAAAATGTTATATTCTGTGCTAAGGGAATAAATACTTAACACCAGGTGGATAATAGAAGAAAGGTTTATTGTACACAACAAGTACAATATGAAATATGGTACAGTTATACACACAGGTCAATCTAGTAGTGAGTGCCACTAATTGGAAGGTCGGACATGCGTAGACGGTCGACTTTATAGGTACTTCCTACCTATAGTGTAATCATTCATGGGGGTGACTGGTTATTCCATTATATCACTATATATATATATATATTTTCTAACTATACATATAATTATATATACTCGACTCTCCCATCGAATTCGATGTATGAGGGTGACGGAACCGACAGCCCGACACCAGCACATGAGATTTGATTATAGTGGTGAAGGTTTTGTGCAGAACCATCTTTTTGAAGGCCTGAATGCAGTGATGCACTGGTCTCCAAACGACCCTCCGCTGGTTTTGAATTCAGAATTGTCCTTCTCTTAGACCCTTTTATTAGCACCTGTATTAGCACGTAAATCATGGATTCGACTGGAATTCGAGCTCGGCTCTCCGATTTCTCAATCCAAGCCGCTATCCATTACTCCACCGTGCCTCCAACGATGGAACAAGGACAAAAGTCCATATTAACATATGTCCGCAAATCCTTGGTTTTTGAGTTATTAGTATTAAAGTTTACGGTAGACGATGTTAAATGTATAATCCAAAAATACTTCTACAAACTTTAGCGGCGGGTTCTTGACACCAAAACAGGCTAAAAATTTGTTCGCATGATACGGAAGAAGTTAAACACTTAGGTTTGTTAAACTATAACGTTTTGACTTGATGCACACAGTCTCTGTTTATCTCTCTGTGCCTACCCTTCCCTCTTTTACCGTCTATCACTTTCTTTTTCTCTCAATTCGCAGCTTCCTTTTCTCTACTTCCCTTTTTCAGTTCTCTCTTTCTCAATTCTTGTCTTATGATCTACTCGCCTTCTATGTCCAGCTCTTTCTTTCGCTGTCCATCTCGTCTCTCTTTCTCTTGCTCTCTTTCTCCCTTTCTCCTGTCTCTTTTCTCAGTTTCTTTCTTTCTTTCTTTCTTTCTTTCTTTCCCCTTATCTTTCTGTCTACCTCCCTCTATCTTCCATACACATGTATGTATAATAGCGCCCATAACATTCAGATAAACATGATTGTGTAATCTATACTTACATATTTGGCAACTGGGTTTGATGCTGTTTGGTAAAGTGGTGCCAAGCATTTCTGTAAAATGAATTACATTATAACCTTTTAGTTTACGTATAAGAAAGAAAGAAAAAAAGAAAGAAAGAAAAGCTAGAAAAAAAACTAGAAATAAAAAGTAAAATAAAGGAAAGTTAAAAATGAAAAGTGAAATAAGAAATCAAGAAAGCTAGAAATGGAAATGTGACAGAAAGAAAGAAAAAAGAAAGAAAGCGAAATTAGAAATGAAAATTGAAAGAAAGTAAAAAAGAAAAAAAAAGGAAGTAAATGGAAATACAAAAGCAAGAAAGAAAGAAAAAAAGAAAGAGAAAAATATAAGAAACTTTGGAAAATTTGCAGTTTAATCCACGCGCTCAGTTTCTAATAAAAACATCCCGAATAGTTACATTTAGGTGTAAAATTACATGCTTAATTCGAAAATAACAAATAAATTTTGCTAAAATCTACCATTTTGAACTTATTGAAAATAAAAGTTTGGACTCATTCACATTGGGTCTGTCCGCCATTACCGACGTTGTTTTCATACGTTTGCCTTGAGTAGTCATGCATGGAAGTTTACTTAGATAACGGCCTTTTTTTACTGATTTTACTTGTCTCAATTACTGCGCAAAACCAAAAGAAGTCTTCAGACATTTTTTAAAGTGAAGCTTGTATAAAAAAATTTTTTTTTTGGTAAATTTGTTTAAGTTATTTAGAAAAGCAATGACAAGTGTTTTTTTTTTATAGTGAAGTTTTTTTTTATTTTTATAGTAAAGCTTTTTATAGTGAAGTTGCAATAACAATGAATTCTTGGTTAAATAATAATAAAATAAATAATAAAACAAATTAAATAAAAAAAACAAACAATAATTAAATAAATAATAAACAAATTGTATTAGTATTGAAATCTTATTTTAAGGTATTTAATAATCATGCTTTGTATAACTCCAAAATTATTTAAAAGTAAAAATTTCTTTTTATTTTGTAAATTATCATCCTCTTTTTAAATTTCGCGCAAAGTTTGCACATTGCGTGCGCATTAATCAAGACAGGTGAAACTTCTGCGCATGACAATTCGAGGCAAACGTATGTAGACAACGCCAGTAATGCCTGCCGTGCTTTTGCCGCGACGCGAATGAGTCTGAAATTTTATTATCGATAACTCCAAAACGGTAGATTTTAGCATAATTTCTTTGTTATTTTTGAATTAATCATGTAAATTTCGACCTAAATGTAACTATTCGGGAAATTTTTATTAGAAACTGAGTGCGGGGCTTAAACTGGAAAACCGTAACTTTTGGGGAATTATCACCAGAAGAAAAAAATATTAAAAAAAAAAGTGTGGAAGGCGTTGAGAATTGTGTTCTTAACATATTAGTAAATAAACAAACGAATGTGTAATATTTTACTGGCAATTATTGTTTGATCAAGTGATAGCTCTTTTTCTCTTTTCAAAATTGACATTTCTTCTGCTCACAAACTCGTTAATAAATGATTGCTTCTAACAAGTCAATGATCCTCCGTTTGATTTAAGCATTGAAAATTGATTTTCTTATGATTATTTATTTTAATTATTAATTGAGCTGAAATATACTCAAAGGACAAACTAACAAATTGACGTGTTATAATGCTTGGAGTATCTATTAGCAAAGAGCGTTTCAGTCGTCAAATAATGCCAGTTCGCCCGTCACGAGACTGTGGAGAAAACTATTTCTAACCGGCGGCTATCGAAGATTTCAAATACTAGACCAACCGCCAGATTAAAACGCCTCATTTGAAAAGCAGACGGTAGCTGGTAACGGTCAGTAAAAAATTAGAGAAAGCGTAACATGGGGGAAATATCTACGGCAAATTTAACATCCACTGTCGGAAGTCGATTTTTTTTGTTGTCTCTGATAAATTAATAGGTTGATGCGTAAACGAATAAGTGCAAACAAATTGACTGGTGTATTTTAAAAAATTTTTTTAAAAATTCACCAAATTCCAGTTCACACTCCTCCTGTCTCTTCTGAACAGGAATAGAAGTTTATCCCTTACTCCCTGTTTGGGATTGAGTTTCCGGTTCCTTCTAAAGACTCTTCATTCTCTTTCACCCCCAGTAGCCCTTTATGTTTTAGTGGCATTATCGCCTTGCTTGAGGTGAATTGATAAAAAATAAATTAATTAATCTACTTTAATCCAGTAGGTTATTGTCTCGTAAAATAATTGTGAGTGAATTTGAAACCTTAACCTTTTTAACTTATTGTTCACCCAATACAAGGCCCAGGAGCCACTCAAGGTAGAGAGTTACTGATTGAGGTTGTTGCGCGTAATATGAAGTAATAAATGAATTTTAAAAGGATATTTAGGAAATAATTAATCCAAGGTTTGAAGAGATTGTAGTGATTCAGAAACCTTCCCCTCGAGAGTTTGTTCCAGTGAAATAGTTGTCTGAATTGAACTTCATATTTACTAACGAAATACAATGGGAATAGGGATATCCGTTCCAGAGAAACATAGCAGGGTGGATCTTAGCTCTGAAGGTCAGGGCTGATGGACTTAATGAATGCAGCTCGTCATATCGGAAATAGCGATAAGCTTGCAACATTTCGTCTGCAGGCAAGTGGCAGTAGAGTGGAAAATAATTCATCGCCCTCAAGTCTGCGAAGATGCCTCTGAAGTCTGTCAAGACTAGAAAGTGATGACTGGGTATCGCCAACCCACATACAGCAGAAGTACACCATATTTTGTTAGATCTGGCTTTTGTAAAGATAGAGAATAGTAGGATGAGTCAAGTACTAACCATAGCGATACAGAGAACCGACCATTTTACCAACATCTTTAGTGATGGATCGTATAGATGTGTTCCACTTGAAGTCTGAATAGGAGTTCAATGCATATAGCCTCTTTGAGAGGCAATTCATCGTGAAAGGTGAAAGTTCAGGTTCTGCTCTGTGATGGTCAAACATACGATCTTGGTTTTGGAGCTATTGCGCGTTACAAGCCAGTCCTATCCCCCCCCCCATTGAGCCGCTAGATCTAAGTAAAAGGAGGGATCAGCTATCAGTATCTGGAGATGCACAAATATAGACTTGTATCATCTCCATTGATATTTACTAGATATCTGAGTATATTCTTTGGTATATCGTTAATATAGAGAAGAATGATTGTAAGAGCGAATAGGGAGCCTTGGGGAACGCCTGGCTTGATTACATCGGCTTCCGAAGACTGGCCTTTAATGTTGACCTTTATTGACCTATCTGTTAGGAATGACTTGATAACTGAGAAAACTCATCCAGATATGCCTTAGCTGGAGAGATTCTGCATCAAACGCACTATGTCAAAGGCCTCGAACCAGGTCAGTACATCAATGGGTGACAGTTTCGGACCACCAGGTGCTGTAAGTTTGGATGTGCGGGTGGTGTAATGGATAATGGCTCAGAATTGGAAATCGGAGAGGCGAATTCTGTTAGACAGCACGTCTAAAATATGACAAAACGCAAAGAGGCATGAACTCACTTTCATGTTTTTTGGGGTATTTTTTTTTGAGCGTTTCACCCTAAGCAAGGTGGGAAGCCACTAGCACGCAAGAGGTTACAGAGAGTTGGAGCTAGAGCAAATAGGAGTGATAGAGGAAAGGATGAAGAGAAGGATAGGGGTTAGATCAAGGCATCTGGAGACATCGATTGACATTACATTTGAATAGTTGGAGATTATAGCTATCAGGGAAACAGGAAGAGGCGAGGGAATTCCACAGGCGAGAGGTGCGAGACATGAAGCTACTGGAGTAGAAGAGACGGTTACATTTAACCGTTTCAACGCCTAAATTCATGATGTCTGGGAACCAGCAAAAGCAGATCCTCGGAGCAGTTACCATGAAAGTATTTGTAAAAAAGACAGACGGAGGCGACGGCACGTCTGTGAGAGAGCAACTGCAGACGAGATGCCAGGTCAGGGCCAGTTACGTTGCATATCCGTCTCTGGATCTTATCAAGAACCTTGAGACAGACAGAAGGGGCACCAGACCATATATGGCAGCAATACTCCATGCAAGGGCGAATGGTTGATTTGTAGATTTGAAGGATCGACTCCGGCGAGAAAAAATTCCTGAAATGTTATTGCTCTAAACAAGATACAAGGGAAAATTGGAATTACTGGAAGAATTTCATGATGCTTATTCTCAAATGACGCACATGTGTGTCTTGTGGCATGATTCTGGCGCTCATGTGTGTCCATTTCACAGTTTATTAGTATTATTATTTGTTGAAACTTGACTAATGCATGGAATAATAATTTGCGAGCCCCATAAAACTCTGTAGCATCGCCACATTAGTAGGCGTCGGCATGTCTCTAATCGCAATGGACCTTTCCGGATCTGGAAATCTGCCCTTTTTGTTGATTATGTGACCTAAATACTTAATTTCCTCCAAACCAAATTCGCACTTTGACTCTTTGACTTTAAAACCAAAGTCCTGAATCTTTTTAAATACTTGATTGAGATGCTCTCGATGTTCGTCGACGGTTTCGCTCCTTACTATGATGTAGGCGCACGTAAAGTCTAAATCATTCAACATTATTATACTGGGTGTAACAGTAAAATTCTCCAAATCGTGTAACAGCTAAATTGTCCAATTGTTAGATTAAGCTTTGAACTGTTGTATCTTAGAAGTGATTAAAGATATCTTACTGGAATTCCCAGTGGTTTTTACAAGACTATTAGACTCTACTTTGAACAATAAGAATGTATTTAGCTCTAATGATGATCTCTCTTGCTGTTGTGACCTCCTGATCCAGTTTTGCTCTCTACTGTTCCCTCTTTTTAAAAATTATTGAGCGTTCTCTTGATGGTTCTTGAATGAATTTTGATAGATGGAAGCCAGAGTATGAATGTTGGTACCATTACTGAAGACCCGAATGACCTTTTTCCTTTCACCATTGCTCAGTTGAGAAGAGAGTGGGTCTCGCACAAAATAATTTTAACCTGTTCACTTTCTAGCTGAATAACTCAAAGGGTTTTTCAGTGATTCTTACGACAAATGGTGTCGAGATAGCTAAACGTCTTATTTAAAAACCTGGGAAAAAGAAACCTAATTTTGTGGAATTCGTTGTAAATTAAGATTCGCGAGAGAAATGTGGTTGTCATTCCACGTTTGGGTGCCTTTTAAAAGACGACCAACACTTCACTGCCGGAGGAAGATGGTATTTAAAAAAAATCACTTACCTATGCAAATTCTTCCAGCCAGATAAGGAACAAGAGATGTCATGTCCATAAAATTACCAATACTGAAAAGTTTACAGTTATCCTGCCCAACAATAGCCGGAAATTCCTTTCCCGTCTGCTTTGTGCCGATTGCAAAGAGAATAACTTCATCTGACAGAAGACTTTCGGCTACTTGCATAACTTGCGTTGCATCCTGGGACTTACCGACGACAAATATAATGCCGATCTGAGGCACACCTATTCGCTTGTCGGCTCGAAACACCTCTTGCATGAGAAGAAGTCCGTTGGTTAAATTGTGTGCTGGTTCTTTCGACTGCTTGATGCTTGACAAAACAATTTTAAAATGTCTGCTACTGTAGCCACTTTGCAGGTTAATCTTTACAGAAGACGACCCGCTCTGTCTTATGACGGCCAGACGCGTGTCGCACGAATCGTTCAGATGGAAAAATTGGAGCATCTGGCCAATAAAGTATTTCTGGCCGTAAAATTCAAATTGATTTAATCTTGAGGAGCCATCGATCAAGAAGATAACGTCCACTTTGCCGTTACACACTAAATAAAATAAAATAAAAACAACGCTGAAAATAAAATCTCTTTCAAACCTAAACATTTTAATAATCCTATCTCTTTATCTATTTATCTATCTATCTATCTAATAATAATAATAATAATAATAATAATAATAATAATATGTATTTTTTGTAACGTATTCAATATAATAAATATAATATACGTTAATGGACTCAATAGATTTATTTTACCCCTTTCCAGCGGATCTGTATCTCTGCGAAACTTCAAGCCAAAAGATAAGTGATTTGATTTGAACATTTATTTATCTCCCTCTCTTTTCACTCATTCCCTCATCTATCTATCTATCTATCTATCTATCTATATATATATATATATATATATATATATATATATAAGTGAAAATTGAAGTCATCACTCAGAGGCTACAGACTGTTTTATGCTAAACGCAATCATCAAGCCACTTTTATATTTACATATGCTCTATTTCTGATATTGAGCACTTTATCCTATGAATATAGCATACCTTAAAACTATATTCTTCATATATACAAATAACAAAAACCACCACAATTAAGAACTTTCAACAGTATCAAAAGTTAAAATGGATATCACATGTAACTCGAAGAGAAAATAATGAGATGATGACATTCCACTCTACTTTAAATAAAAGGTTAGGAAGGAAACCTCCATCAATATTGAAAAGAGCGATAACAGCTACATTTCATGAAAAATTGTTTTAAGGGAGAAATATTTTATAAATTTCAACCAACAGTAGTACAAGCTGCACGGACAATGATTGCCGAATGTGTCCTTATAAGAAAACGGCTAATTATTATTACCATTTTGAAATTTTTTTAGCCTTAAAAATAATGTTTGATCATTAAAATACTGGTTTCAGTAACACTATTTACATTATTTGTCGCCATATTTATTTCAACGTTTCGGCCGTTGTACGCTCCGGCCTTCTTCAGATGTTTGGAATGTCGAACTGAACCCTTTATTTCGCTCACTGGGGTAGACTGTTCTAGTTCCACGTGCCATGTTTTAATGGATGCCAGTTATCAATTATCTCCTGCTTAATTCCTTCTCCAAGTTCTCCGCCGCCTTAACCAGGTATTGAACTCACACTCTTTGGTCCTATCACTGGATTTAATTAACGCCTTTATCCACTGTGCCATGTGTCTTTTAGACGCAGGACCCAAAGAGTGTGAGTTCAATACCCGGTTAAGGCAGTGGAGAACTTTCAGAGGGAAATTAACAGGAGATAACTGATAACTGACATCCATTAGACATGGCACGTGGAACTAGAACAGTCTACCCTAGTGAGCAAAATAAAGGGTTCAGTTCGACATTCCAACCACCTGAAGAAGGCCGGAGCGTATAACGGCTGAAACGTTGTAATAAATATGGCGACAAAGATGAGGAAAACCGTCCGAATAATGTAAATAGTGTGCATAATACCTCATCTCAGAAATATAGACAGATACTGGTTTCAATAAGTGTATCAGACAGAGAACTTTTCAGCGATCCTAACGTATAATAATAATAATAATAATAATAATAATAATAATAATAATAATAATAAACAATTGAGGTTGCACGGTATTGGCACCCGATGAATATAAAATACGGCACGACAGAGTGGGCCAATATCTGTACTGGAAAATCTGCAACACTTACGGAAAAGAAACTGCAAGAAATTGGTATGAATACCACCCAGACCCGGTTACGGAGATAGGACCTGTCACTTTTTGGGGGACTTTACAATATACAGACAGAGCAATCAAAGTTAATCACCCTGACATCGTGATCAGAGACCGCAAAGACAAAATGTGCCTCCTTATTGACATGGCAGTCCCTACAGACTGCAATGTATCTTTGAAGATCTTCAAAAAACTATCAAAATACAAGGACCTTGAAATGAAAATCTCAAAAATGTGGCACATGGGAACATCAACAATTCCAGTTGTATTTTGAGCCCTCGGATTAATTAGTAAAGATTCCAATAGACTGAAGAAATCCCTGGTAGCCCATACCTTAAAGAAATACAAAAAGTTGTACTCACAAGTACAACCCACACCTTACGGAGGGCTTTATATATGTAAAATGTGTGAATTTTTTCTCAATGAAAAATGTCATGATGCCATTTCTATGGCAAATAATGAGAAAAAAAGGCTTGGAAAATTTGTCATCCACAAGAATTATTGACGGCAAGAAGGGCGGTGGGTACGGCGTGTAACCTACCTAAAGACTTTATGAAAATAGATGGACGAGAAGGGACTCGGGTAGCAAAGGAACAAGTATTTCTTAGGGCTACGAAGAATAAGAAGATGTGGAGAGCCATGATCACCCATGGGGATAACAATTTGAAGAAAGTTACTCACCGCAATCGCACTGTTCAACGCCGAGGAAAATCAAGACAATTGAAGTGTAAGCAAACAGTAACATTTTCCCTTCAGTTCTGTTTTCGACAATAAAGCCGAAAAGAACTTGTGACTCATATATATGTAATATAGGTAAAATCCGGTCAATTCTTTTGAGAGATGACAGTTTGTCACGTGTTTCACGATGGAGATATTTAAAAAAAAAAAAAAACTGCCAATGCCATCGTAACAATGAACTCAAGACACATCCGGCTGTAATGGAAGCAGATTAGTTTTAAACACGACCACTCATGCCAGTCTCGACGGAAAACATTCATCATTTTTAAACTAAAATGTCGACCTGCCGAAGACCGAAGACTTTTTTTTATATATTGTTATCTCTGACAGATAAAAGAGTATACTTTTATTTATATATTTGTTTACTGGAGCTAGGGACACGTTTAAGGCAGACGCTAGAGTTTTAAAAATGAAGTAAAGAACAAAATTGTGTTTTTCATTCAACTGGCCTGACTTATTCCATTAATCACACATTTTAAGGATTGTTTTCGCGTTTCAATGTTTAGAATACACGAGATGCTTCGGAAAGGTTCGTGGAATTTGACTATGAAAAATATTACTTAATCTAACAGTTACTCTACTGTCACCTTCGAAAGAAGACTAGGTGTTAGGATGCTGCTCAGAAAAGGTATCAGTAAAAGTCCGTACTACACTCGGTTATTACGTCTTTTTGCTCAAGTGCACGTGAGACATTAAATTGTTAACATCTAATTTCTACAGCTATAGACATAGAATATGCTAAGATACGAAAAACGTCTTCCCTTAAAATGTTTTCGAACTGTACTAAAGATTCATTTTGTCCTTCATGTGGGTGCGTGGGTAGTGTAACAGTTAACGACTCGAAAAAAGAAATCGAATTCTAAGTTCGAATTCCGGCCGAGTTCGTTGCATTCACTTTCTCACCAATACCCTTGGAAAAGTTATGGATCCCTCTCTTCTTTCAGCTATCGGTTAAATAGTAGAGCTGATGGGACTCTCTTGCCTTAAGATGACAACCAGTCTACAAGAAAGGAAATTTTGAATTCGAAACCAACTTGAAAAGGAATGGGTTCCGTCAGGTTATCTTGACCTATCACACCAGTGCTGCAATGGTTGCAGTATATATGGTGCCTGTAAGTCTCTAATGGATTACTGGACTTGTGATGTAAGGTTACACTTCATAAAAGTTATCATCATCCTTCGACCTCCCTGTGGAGGAACTCCATTCCCAATCCCTTTCCACGCTGCTCTGTCTGCATTGTCGTCCCCAGATGTCCAACCCTGAGTTCCGAGTCATTGTATCTGGGAAAGTCAAATTTCATGAGAAGACACCTGTAGAAGGATTCCATAGAAGTAAGGATGAGGTGACCCTCCCGTCCGCTCGGTGATAGTGACCGGCAAACTGTAATCGCTTTTGTTTGAGTTTAAGAGAGATTGGTCTCAGTTGTCCGTAAATTGTGTTAAGCGTTGCATAAAAGTTATACTACATCTGTAATTTAATATATCAAATATTTATGCAAATGTAACAACTAATAATGGGCAGTCTTATTTACAAGAAAAATTATTGCAAGAAAAGCAAGAATTACAATACAGCAATACCTTACCATTAGCAGAATTGCCAGCTTTGTTTTCTCATATCCATGGAATATTAGTGCTCAAAACTTTTATTAATCGAAACCTCTGCAAAATGTATTTAAAAAGAGCAAATCTTATATAAAAAAGCATAGATATAAATCTTTAATAATAATATTACAGTTACACTTCACTTAACGACCTGGTCGCTAAATGAGAAGTTATAGCTTACTGCTATTTCAAGCATACTATACGTGAAACAAGTTTGTGTCAATCAGTTTCAGGTACCTTAAATGTCACTTTTGAACCATTTGTAACATTTCTAATTTATTTCTAAATGATTATACAATAGAGTAGTGCACTGTGTGTGTGGCATCCATCGGTTTCGAGAGATCGTGTATCTGCGTCCCAAAGAGTTATGCCTCAGCTGCTGATGGCGGTAGGCATCTGTTATGGCTGTACACGCCCGCACAAGAGTGACAGTCTCGGTTGCATGTCAAGACGCTCTCCCCCGATGTTGCTGTGTTGTTTTCTTTCCTTCGAGCACGCTTCACCCCGGCAGAAAACCTCCGTTTTTTCTTTCCTGGCTCCAGTCCTCGGTGTAAATCGTGTCTCCAGCGTGAGCAAACGTTGGTGATGTCTTCCCACCTCTCGATGATCATGTAATGTATTATACAGTAAATGTAATAGTGACAGTCACAAAGCACTGCCCGAGACCCTTAATCAGGCTCCCTGTCCCCTATTGAGGGGTTTGGGGGCAGTACGCACCGGCCCCGTTCAGCATTTGTTGGTAGAATCACATCTGTTGCTTCAAGTCTCTTTTTTCATCTGCCATCCAGCATTCAGGCCATATATTCGAATTCACATAGCAGTTTAGCACTCTTTGTTGCTAATGAAATTTTCTTATCTCTTAATACTTCGCTTAGTTTCTGGAAGGCATTTTTAGCCTGCTTAATTTTAACATCCCTAATATGTAAATTGCACCAGGCACTACATTCTTACAAATAATAATAATTTCTTCTAGCCTTTGACGACCTTGTTTCTCTTTTCTGTGTCTGCCCAGTCCTGTATGTGAAGATAAACTATATCCGGCAGCAAGGTCACTTATTGGGAGATTGGAGGTTTTGAGGGTCTCTTATTTGCTATTGTTCCCAGGTCCACCCTGACCCGGTGGAGTAGCACCTGTTATGGTCCTAGATATAGGAAATTAGTGACCCACCAAACAGAAACCAAACACTATGAAAGTATAAAAATACATTTTTATAATAAAAATACAAGTAATACATTTTTATAGTAAAAATACAAGCAATAAATTTTTATAGTAAAAATACCATCAGTACATTTTTGTATAAAAAAAAAATTATCAAAAATACATAATTATCAACAATACATCGTTAAAGCAAAATCACCAGCAATACATTTCATATTAGAATTACCAACACATTTTATAGCAAAATGACCAAAAATACATTTTATCTGTGATTAACGGCATACAATTGCGTTCAAAATAAATTTAGTTGAAACCATAAAACTGTGTTCAAAATATTTAGATTTTTGGATTAAATAATCTATAAAGGTATTGATATGCCGCTAAACAAAATCAACCAAATCAAACTGTGACTGCCAGCATCACCTGTGTATCTTATGTCCCCTGATAATAATTCTTCGTAGGTCTTGTAGTTCCCTTAAGATAGGCTCGCTGTATTGTAATGGTTATATTAACCGTTCCCCTATAAGTATTTATTGACCGAGCAACTAGTAATGTTGTCGGTTGAAATTTATAAAATCTTTTTCTTAAAACAACTTTTCAGGAAAACAGGTTTCGCAAGCCCACTAGCTGTTATCGCTCTTTCTATTGCTGATGGGAGTTTACTTCCTAAACTTTTGTTTGAAATAGTGTGGAATGTTAACATCTTGATTATGTCATTATTTTCTCTTTGAGTTACATGTAATATTCATTTTAAATGTTGCTTGTTAGTAGTCCTCAAGTGATGTGGTTTCCGTTATTCGGTACAGTTCTTTGTTTGTGATTACGTAGCGCCAAAACGTTCAAATAGGGATGATCTTTGTCAAAACCCTCAGGTTTCACTCTCTCAAAGCCCCTTTCCACCACTGACCTTAGAAAGCTGTTGCATTTTAGGGTTACAGGTCCTGATCCGGTCTGGAATGGTTTTACTTTGATCACGGAGTCGGCCAGATTCCAAAATAATATATGTTAGGCTATGGACTCTAGGGGTAAAGTTGAAAACACGGAAAAATTTATTTTGAAACACTATCATTTGAGAACAGTAATTTTTCATTTGAAATGAGCTATTGAAAGTTAGAGAGTTGTGTCCCTTTAAGTTGAAAAAAGTGTGACACACTGATATTCTTATTTATTATATAGATGAAGAATAGGCTCTTTGGTTTTATAGAATATGCAAAAGCGTTTGATAAAGTACGTCACAAAGAACTATTTGAACTGCTAGTTAAGCTTGGCGTATTTGGGAAGGATATTAGAATAATCCGGCATTTATACTGGTGGCAAATCGCCTGCATACGGATAGAAAATGAATTCAGTAAATATACAAACCTAGAAAGGGATGTAAGATATAGATGTGTCTTCTCACTCGACTTATTCAATTTATACAAGAATTATTTTCCATCCTCCAACCTCTCTCTCAAAGGCGGTATGTGACGAGTCTCTCACGCTCTATCGCTACTACCATGTAAAGTGCCCGGATGAATTACAGTTCTTGGTTCTGCCAGGTCTAACCTTCACGGCTAGGACGCGCCATGCCACTGACATTGTAGCAAACCACCCACATCCCCTCCATATTCCATCGGCAAGAAGTAAGTTTCACTCAAATAGCTTCTTCCCAGGAACTACTTCCCTGTGGAACGGTCTCCCAAGAGGATGTTTTCCCCGATCACTACAATCTTAACCTGTTCAAGTCTAGATTTAACCATTATCTTCCCTTATATCCATATAAACTACTCCTTAATGTAACCCTCTACCTCGAGTGGCCCCCGGGCCTTGTACAGTGTGAACCTCACTGTAAACGAAATAGAGGTGATTCCAAGTGAATTAGAAGTCCTACAGGATTCATTATTGGCGGCCACAATCTTTACAACATAAGATATGCAGATAAAACGCTGATGATAGCAGACACATAAATGAAACTACAAGAACTCTTACAGAAAATAGTGAAAGGAAGCTAGAAAAAAGGACTAAATATCAATTGCAACAAGACAGGATGCTTGGTTGTTAGCAAAAGGATGAGCCCAACAAGCAAATTACAAATTAGAGATACCAAAATCAAATAATTACAACAAGTTAAATATCTGGGAAGTGTTTTAACAGATGACGGAAAGTGTGACACTGAATTCCGGACGTGGATTGGGAAAACAAAAGATGCCTTTCAAAAGCTATGTAAAGTATTAGGAAATAAGAAAATTTCGTTAAAACAAAGGAAAGAGTACTGAACTGTTACGTAATACCAGTCCTCCTATATGGCCAATCTCCTCGTAGATGAAGCAGAGACTTGAAACAACAGAAATGTGGTTCTACAGAAGGATGCCGAGAATCCCATGGACCAAACATGTGAGCAACGACGAAATTTTAGAGAAAATGGAAACAAAAAGAACACTTATACTTAACATCAAGAGAGAGTTGAAATTTATAAGGCATGTAATGAGGACAGACGGCTTGGAAAATTTGATACTCACAGGATAGATTGAAGACAAGAAGGACAGAGCAAAAAATGCCTAGAGAGCGAACTTGAGTAAATTGATGGTGGAATAAGCTTTAGGGGGAGATCAGAAAATTATAAGATTTACTAAGAGCTACAAAGGACAGGAAAATTATTGAGAGCCACGAAGGAACAGGGTACATAGAAGAAGAAGAAGAAGAAGAAGAAGAAGAAGAAGATGATGATGATGATGATGATGAAAACGAAGAAGAAGAAGAAGAATGAATCTTTTTGGTGGTTTTCGTTATTTTACTAATATCTTCCTTTATCAATTGATTGGTTTGATTCTTAACATGAATTGTAATCACCGATCTGTTTTTTTTTTGCGGGGGGGTTATGGTTGTGATAACTTTCGGCTATCCCGGGGCTTTGTGCAAAGACCAAAAGGAGTGGTTATTTTGCAGATGATTCGCGGTGTACAAATGTTGCTATTGTGATGTTGATGATTGTGATTTCTTAAATTAAATAACTCGAAAATGAATACCAACAATCGTGAATATTTATTTAGGCATAAGTTATTCTCCAGTTCAGTATGGAACAAGAAAGAAAGTTTGTGTTGTTTGGTGTCAATGCCCTAAGGAAATTTCCGGTTTGTGGTAGACCAACCTAATCACATACCTGTGTCAAGAGGTAGGTGCCCGACTGTGCAAATTTGTCCGTTTTTCTGTTGTCAATATGTAGATGAATATGTGTAAGAATTTGGAGACATTTCATTGGTGTTTGATATTTCGACACGTTGTCAAAATTCCGGATATTACAGACGATGTTGACGTCAGTATGATAAATCAAAGAATGAGGCAGAAGAAAGTTGTAAAAGTTTAATTAAGTTTATACTTTGATTTTCCTAGCCGCGGGGAAAATTGGAGTTTATTTTTAATATTCCTACAATTCCTTATTCTACGTTATTTGATAAACAATTAAAATCACTAATTATTATATTAGTTATTCACTTATAAAGAGTGTTCCAAAAACCGATTTTAAATGTGAATTAAGTTTTTTTTTTTTTTTTTTTTTCAGATTTAACAACTTAAGTCTTTGGCAATTACAACCATGGAAAGGTCGGGTACCTCGAGGTGGTGTAATGGTTAACAAGCTTGTCTCGCTAGAACAATTACGACTGAGTATTGAGTTCGATCCTCACTGGGTGCCCCATACTTTCAGCCTTGTGCCACATCTAAACTACGTTTGGAAAATAACTACAACCATGGGGAGATTAACAATCAAACAACGTGTTAAAGTTATGGAAGCCTATTATGAAAATGAACGTTCAAACAGAAATGCACTTCGCGGTTTCTTTTGGTCAACATAATCGACCAACCGAGAGTACAACTGGAAACGATGTAACGTTGTTGTGAAGAGGTTCAATTGCTGCGCGCGATAACGAATAGAGGGGTCTGGATTTTCGGTCACATTCTCGTGCACTGCAGCAATGTTTTCAGCTGAACGGCGTAAACAATGGCGTATTCACATCTGCCCCGGACCCAGTTTGTTTGAATTTACGAACAATTTTCCCAATTGCACCCTTGAAACTTTAACACGTTGTTTGATTGTTAATCTTTCCATGGTTGAAATTGCCAAAGACTCAAGTTGTTAAATCTGAAAGAAAAAGAAAAAAAATTACATTTAAAATCAGCCCAACTTATTGAAACACCCTTTATATCTATATATTTTACTTATAGATATGCCATACGGTCGACATAATGTATATCAGTATTCATGTACGGCTAAACAGAAGCATTTCAAAACAGAAGAAATAAATCTTCTACATAAAGCAACGGCAAATTCTGTCCTCTAGCTCGGGCCACACTTGGTCTACATAGACATCTTATACATTTTTTGGAATCAGAATGATCCCGGAATTGAAAACCTGCCCTTCATCTAGTGCTTGACCATCCAGCATTGGGATTTGTGTCCACATGAGTAGGGAGCAGTTAAAAATTTAAGTTTTAAAATAAATAAAATAATTAGTGATTTTAAAACTTTTAAATTTATATTGAGTTTAAAGTAACACAAAATCAAAATCTTTGTGAATTTAATTTTTTTTTTTAAATTCAGTTTAAATATCTCCAAAACTTTGTGGATTGAGAAAATCAATTTTATTTCTTTAGAATGGCAATGAATCAGAGTTAAAGTCAGAGGTTTCGTGACGTGAGGTTTTGAAGTTCCACTGAGTTTGTAATTTGAAGAACTCAATTTTCTGCCTGAACTGGAATTTCGGCCCAAATCGGAGTTTCGGCCCAAATCGGAGTTTCGGCCCAAATCGGATTTTGGCCCAAATCGGAGTTTCGGCTGGAGTTAGAATTATAGCACGAATCACAGTTAAAGTGAGGTTTTGATGCTCCATGGAGTGAAATGAGGAATTCAAAGTTATTTCTTCAAAATTATCATTGCTGTTTTCTAAGCTGGACCAGAGGTTTCTTTAGTTTTGGGCCGGAGAAGCTAGCTTAAAAGTTCTCACAGAGTTCAGCTTTTAAACTAGTATTTAATAAAATGTTAGTAACTGTTTTATTTAATTTATAGCAACTAAAATAAAATTTTCATAACCTGTTTCATAGATATGACTTATTTTATTACTATAAATTAAATATGATATATTTTATTAAGATACATAAAATAAATTAAAAATATTACCTATTTTAAACAAATATATTATTTTTCTATGACTTTTTCTTACCTGCAACCCAAGCTTATGTGTTTTTTCTTGCCCAAACAAAATGTACCTTATGACCTTTTTTCCAATGACTCATTGCCTATGTCTTTTCCTGCAATCTAACCTAAATAGATTGTGTGTTAATCGTTGCTCTACAAGCACGTTCGTATATAATTCATTTACATATCGATGATCCAAAAGCCAGATTCATATTTTTATTCACATCGATTATTTTTCATCTTTCTTTCTTGTATAAGATCTCCTCTTCTTTTTTTCCTTTATTTCTTCCTTCTATTTGTTTTTCAGATTATTCTCTATACTTCCACTCCTTTCTTCCTTTCATTCTTTCTCCCTTTCTTTCTTTTACAGGAGCTCCTCTTCTTTCTTTCCTTTACATTCTAGCTTTTCTTTCAGATTCTTCTTCTTCCTCTCCTTTCTTTCTTTCTTTCTTTCTTTCTTTCTTTCTTTCTTTCTTTCTTTCTTTCTTTCTTTCACTGATTCTCCTCTTCCTTTTCCATCTTTCTTCTTCTTATTCCCTTTCTTATTTTTTTTCGTTATACTCCTTCACTTTTTTTTTTTTTTCATTTTCCGTCTCGTCAATCCTACTTTTTCAATATCTCATGAAGTATTTTTCTCAAATTACACTGGCTATCCCCCCCCCCCCAACACTTATTGAAAAAGAAATAAAATTCATTCACTCTTTTAATCTTCCTTATTTTCAAAGTGATTTTATTGATGTATTATTGCATAATAAACTGACCGCTTTGTTTATGGGCAAAGCATGAGAGATCTTATTCAAGTTTTGGTTCGTGTTGCAGTCATAGCAACAAAGGTCTGACGCAAACCTTTCATGACGATCCAAGAAAGAAAGAAAAACGTGTAAGAACTTGCAGCCAGAAAACTGCCTCCCTAAATTGACACTGAGTAAAAAAGGAACTCAAATACATAGATACATACATATATATATATATATATATATATATATATATATATATATATATATATATATATATATATATATATATATATATATATATATATAACGAATCAATAATCACTAATACCAAACAGATAAGTCAATATTTAATCAGTACCATATCGCACCACTAGAAAAATTATTTATTTTTGAGATATTTTTTTTTCAAAAAGTGCGTAACTATTATTTTATTAATAGTGACAGTTTTCAGATAAAATTGAACATGAGGCAATAAGCCCAATTTTTAACCATTTGCGAACAGCTGTTAGAAGTAAAGTAGTTCGTTAAAAAGCTCCGAACTTTTGCCTTGTCCCCTTTGTTTTTCATTGCAAAAAACAATAGGATGTATTTTTAGTATACGATAGTCACTATTCCAGCCTTGACTTAGTTCAAAAGCGTTTACGAGGCCTTATGAATGACGAATCATTTTCCATCCTACAACCCCTTTCCCCGCAGTCGAAATGTTGCTCGCCTCTTGTTGTTCTGTCGCTATTTTCAAACGAGCCACATTCCTTAGTTCCACCAGTCCCGAACTTCACAGGTAGAACTCGCCAACCCATACACATAGGATCGACTTTGGGCACCTCGAAGCGGTGTAATGGTTAACGAGCTTGTCTCGCTAGAATAATTACGACTGAGTAGTGAGTTCGATTCTCGTTGGGTGCCCCCCCCTACATTCGGCCTTGTGCCACATCTAAGCTATGCTTGGAGAATCATTAATGGGCACCTCGAGGTGGTGTAATGGTTAGCAAGATTGTCTCGCTAGAACGATTACGACTGAGCAGTGAGTTCGATACTCACTGGGTGCCCCATAATTTCGTCCTTGTGCCACATCTAAGCTATGCTTGGAAAATCACTTCATAGGATCTACTCCTCCTCATACCCTTTTTATTCTAGTGGTAAGGAAGAAATTCCACTCAGACAGCTTCTTCTCCAGAAATGTAACGTTGTAGAACTGGTTTTTGAAAGGATGCGTCCACGATCACTATAATCTTAACCTCTTCAAGTTTGGGGTCAACCGTTATCTATCCTATATATTCTCATAATCTGCACCACTTACACCCTACTTCTACGCCCTTACCACAACAACCATTTAGTAACCATCTACCATCAATGTTTCTTGAGCCTTGTATTGGATGAACAATAGTATAAGCAATTTATTTTTAAAATGATTTTTAACGAAATTTCCAAAAATATAACTTCAAGAAATGTGCATACTACCTCCGAACCTCCCGACCAGGGGTGTAAGTCTCATTGGGGGCCCCAGGCAGTGCTTTTCGACCCTCGCTATTTTATCAACATTTTCTACCTACATTTATATCTTTCTTTTTTTTTTTGTGCCGTATCCCTTCAGGACGTCGGCGATCATGGCTCTCCGCTTCCCCCTATCCCTTGTAGCTCTCAATAAGTTTTGTCCCTTTGCTACAGAAGCTTTTCTGTCATCCACTTGCTTAAGCCCGCTAGATATGTCACGTATTGTTTTCCCTTGTCTCTCTTTCCCTTTATTCGCCCTGTGAGTAGCAGATTCTCCAAGCCCTCCTTTCTCATTACGTGTCCCAGGAATTTCAGCTGCCTCTTCCTGATGTTCAATATAAGCTTCCTCCTTGTTTGCATCCGCTCCAAAACCTCATCGTTGCTCATGTCCATGATATCCTTAGCATCCTTCTGTAGAACCATACCTCAGTTGCCTTCTTCATCTTTGAGGAGACTGTCCAAAATTCGCTGCCTTAAAGGACGACAGATATCACGTAGCTGTTCAGTACTCTTTTCTTTGTTACCTCCTGCCTCCTAATACTCTGCCCAGTTTCTGGAATGCATCCTTCGCCATCCCATTCCATCTTTGGATCTCAGCGTCGCACTTATCGTCCACTGTCAGAACACTTCCTAGATATTTAAATTTCCGTACCTGCTTGATTTTAATGTCCCCAACCTGTAAATCGCATTTCGGGCTCATCTTTTGACTGATGACCATGAATTCTGTCTTCTTGTGGTTTATGCTAAGTCCCTTCTTCTCGTTCTCCTTCGCTAGCTTCTGTAGGAGGTTTTGTAATTTCTTTTCCGTGTCTGCTATCAGCAATGTGTTATTTGCGTATCTTATGTTGTTAAAATTTTGGCAGCCAATGATGAATTCCGGTAGGATTTCCAATTCTTTCAGAATTGCCTCGCTCTATATGTTGAATAAGTCCGGTGAGAAAACACATCCTTGCCTTACACCCCTTTCTATTTTTTGTATATCTACTGAACACATTCAGCTGCCAGTATAAGTTCTTGATTATTCTAATATCTTTCCCAAATATAACCAGGTTGCTGAGCAGTTCCAACGGATCATTGTGGCGTACTTTGTCGAAAGCCTTTACATAGTCTATAAAACACAGGTGCACGTCCTGCATTTATATTGCTCTTTCTGATAATATTCTGAGCATAAATATCGCGTTCCTTGTTCCAGTGTCTTTAATGAACCCGAATTGTTCTTGTCCTATCCCTGGCCTGATTCTACGGCGCGCTCTATTCATCAGAATACGGATGATGAGTTTTGTTATGTGGCTCATTAGGCTGATTGTTCAATAGATTTCACATTCGTTTGCACCTGGTTTCTTAGGCAGTACTAGGAAGATAGATATGCTGAGATCTTCCGGTATATCCCCACTGTTGTAGATTTAATTTTTTATTTTTGTGATCTTGTCTATGCCAAAATCCTTTAAGGCTCTCAGCATTTCCGTTACAATTCCGTCGGGACCTGCCGACTTGTCTCTTTTCAATTTCGTTTGTGCGGCCTCTACTTTGGATTTTAAATTTCAGGTCCGTTGGAACTTCAGTGTATTGCTGGTTGTTCTCTTTCGTCGTGGAAGAGTTCTCCAATATATTCGTTCCAGTGCTGAAGATTTTTTCCTTCTCTAATATGATAGTCCCAGCCTTGGATTTTATGCCGCCAGTTGACGAGTATGTCTTCTGTCCGTCCGCTTATTTGTTTATGCATATCTCCTTTGTTGGTGGTACTCAATCTCTCTATTTCAGTCCATTTTTTGTTTATCCACTCTTCCTTAGCCCGCCTGCATTTGGTCCTTATTTCATTGTATAATTTTCTGTGTTCCGTTCCGTATCTTGGCAGGGTTTTATGTTTTCTTTGCACCATGTCGAGAATCTCATCAGTCATCCGTTCGTTATTTTTTTCTTTTTGTCTTTTTTTCTCTTTTTTGTCCATTCTCCTTTGGGGTGATACCTTTTTGCTGATGTCACTACAGCTTCTTACGTAGCAAATTAAACTAAGCTCAATTGACTATGATGAAAAGTTTTCGCGGATTTTGAAGTCATTTTGGGGTCTTTTTTTTTCGTCCAAATGTGTGAAATAAAAATCACTGTATAAAATTCACTATTGGTTATCTCTAATGTAGAATGTGTTAAAATTACTCAACTTTTCAACAAGTAAAATCTGAAGTTGATATTAAAAATTCCCGCAAAAATATGTTGATTTATTTAAGAGGCGTTGATCTATTATGACATATCTTTAATTTGTATTTAGATACATTGTATTTATTTTGAATTTTTCTAGTTGAATTATTCAGCTATATTTCATATGATTCATTATTATTGATAATGACATTACAATGAAATGTATATTTTATATGAATACTACCTTATGAAAATTAATATGGAGTAGAGTTGGGGATCTGTATCATAGATTCGTGGGGAATCATAGATTTGTATGAGACTCTTGCATCAGCTTATATTTACAATACAATATACTAATTCAGTGGTGTACTATCGAAACTTCTAGATACGTGCAAGCATTCTTTGAGCAAAAAGCATCCACTTTATTCCATCTTATAAGGGACTCTTTGACAGTAGAACCTTCGACTTATTTCCACAGAAATATCAGATAAAAGAGGAATAATTATATAATTATGGCGTTAGATGGGATAATCATTTATTTTTAAAATGTTTGAAAATTAAATAAAGAATGTGTTCGAAATTTAAAATAAAAATCTCACATGAAAATATTTATTCTCATCAATAAAATTTATTTGAAAAATTAAAATAAAAGTATTTTATTTGAAATATCTATTTTTGTTTAATTTAAAATCTCTCCTTGTTTTATATTCTGATAAATGTGGGCCCTAAATATAATACAATAAATTCGTATGAATAGAATATATATTCTTTGTAAGGAAACAATTTGTAGATCCAGTTCCATTGGCGTATTTTTGTAAAGAGGGTTTTTGTTGAGAGTCTGGTTTCATTTTTAGGCCCAATTTATACAGATATCGTACGTCTTTTCTAAGTAAAAAAGGACTGCCGTGAGATGTTCTTTCTTAAAGAAGGCTTACCTTACAAAGGTTTCAAGGAATACTAAGTTATCCATGGAACTTCTTTTTTCCTAAAAACACATTGGTAGTCACTGATTTGGCCGTTAGTTTCCAGGTACCAAGTCAACCTTTTATTGAGATTCTTTCCTTAGTTTTACATAGGCAGATCGTTAGTGCTATCGGCCTGTAGCTTTCAGGGTCTGTGTCATCCTTTCCAGGTTTTGGAATAGGGATGATGAATTACTATGTCCACCTATTTGGGAAGTTACCACTTGTTCATATGTTGTTATACAAATTTAGAAAGAGTTGTAATGATTTGTTAGGCAACTGTTTTATGAATTGATA